GGGGGTGGCCTGCAGCGGATAGTCCCACCAGTTAAAACTGCAACCCCCCCCCCAGGGGAACTCGCTCAAGCCAAACCACAGAGCACCCTCTGTTGTGGTGAGGGGGGGGATCAGTCCCAGGCGCATAGCTACAGTGGGGCATTTCGGGGCCTGGCCCCCTGACTTCCTGCCAAGGCCCCCTGACTTCCATGAAAGCCCCCAGGCCCCCCAACTCTCTGAGCCACCTGGAGAACTCCGCGCTGCCACCCCTCTTCCACAAGCACAGCTTGCTTCCCTGCATAGACAAGCCAACTGCAAACGCTTCAAAAGTGAGTTTTTACAATTTTTATTTTTATTTTATTTTTTATTTTGTGATGTCAGTGCCCTCCGACTTCTTTAAAGACCCCCTGAGTTACAAAATCTTGGCTACAGGCCCTGATCAGTCCTCCCCCCGAGAGGGTGAAATCGTTGACTATTGAAGAGATTCCCGTTGACCCTTTCAGCCCAGTAAACATAGAGAGACGTTCTCAGTTGAAGCACAGTTTGTTTGAGCAACAACAGGAGAGACAGAACACTGTAGCCACCTTCTGTCTCCCCAAGACCTAATGACCAACTCCTTTCACCCCCTTGAAGCAGGAAAGCATCTGCCACAGGAAAACACACAAACAGAAAGCCAGGTATGCCTGTCCTCTTAAGTGCGCCCCAATGCCCGGGTTTCTCCCGGGCTGGCCACCACTATCTCCTCCTGTCCCCAGGGTAGAGGGTTGACAACGAGGACAACCCTGTGCTGCTCTAAGGGCCTGCCAAACTAACTTCCCCACGTTTACATCACATCACCCTGGTCATGCTGAACACATGCATATCTGTATGCTCGCTGCGTGTTCCTTGCGTGTTGCAGGTGTTTTGGGAGGATGGAAGAGGACCGATTCTTCTGCGTGTTCCTCTGGGATGGGCTTCCAGAGGGCCTTACTCTACTGTAACAAGTTAACGATCTTGAGGCCCGATAACCAGTCTTCTGGCCATCTCTTGCTGACAAGAAGACACGCTTCTTTCCGGAGAGACAGGCTGACTCAGTGCTTCTAGGAAAGGAAGAAATGCCTGAAAGGAAGAAGAGAGCCAGTTTGGTGTAGTGGTTAAGTGCGCAGACTCTAATCTGGGAGAACCGGGTTTGATTCCCCACGCCTCCACTTGCTCCTGCTGATGTGACCTTGGGTCAGTCACAAGCTCTGGCACAGCTGTTCCTGAAAGAGCAGTTTGTGTTAAGAGTTCTCTCAGCCCCACCCATCTCACAGGGTGTCTGTTGTGGGGAGGGGAAGGAGTTTGTAAGCCGCTCTGAGACTCCAAGTGAAGGGCGGGGTATAAATCCAATCTCTTCTTCTTCTTCTTCTGTATGATCCAGACTTGGCTGCGCATTAGACAATAGACAGGCCTGGCTAGGGCCCAGAGAATGGCTCAGAAACAGCAAAGAAGAGAATGGCTCAGAAATAGCAAAGAAAATGGCTCTGAGCTTGAGAAAGGTGGCACTACACCGCAGGGTTGTTTGTCTCATCGGTCATTACCTGCCCCTCTCACAAATGGCACCTCTTGCAAAAAGGGGGGTCCCTTTTGAACTGTGGGGTTCACTTTGTGAGGTCCCGGCTTCTCACTGCCCCACAGTAAACATGTTTTTGGGGAGGCGGAAAACCAGCTCCTCCTGGCTCTCTTCACAACTGGAGGGAAACTCTCAGTGCATTTGCAGGACTGGATATCACGATAACGCCTTGTGTTTAATCATCAAGAGCAGAGAATGAAAAGTTCTGCGGCAAGTCAAATGGGAACCGTGGGGGAACCATTCCTTGCCATTTATTTAAAAAACCACGACACATACAGGGAGGATGGGGAGAGGCAGTGTCATGACCCTGGGCCTACCGGTGTGACCTCCAGGCCTAGGGAGGCCTAGTGGCTCTAAGGAAGCCCATATGGGAGTAGTCATCAGGGCCTACATTTCCCAGGTTCCCTCTGGACCCTGTGATTGGTTAAAAGGTGATTTTGGAGGGGAAACTACATCAGCAGGGGAACAGAGGGCGGTGCCTGGGGAATGTAGGCCCTGATGACTACTCCCATACAGGCTTCCTTAGAGGGACTAGGCCGCCATAGGCCTGTAGGCTGCACCAGTAGACTCAGGGTCATGACAGGAGGGATGGGCAGAATATAGAAACAGCTTATCCCTGGCAGGGATAAGGTGTGACCAGTCGCTCAGTTTGGGAGGAAAGAAGACTTTAAAGCAGGAAGCCACACCCAAGAATGAGGAGTGCCTGGTGCCTTGGTTTCTTGCTGGGGCATTGATTGAAAAACTCTCTCTTTATTCCAGCAGCAGATGTAGAGGAGACAGATGGGGGATTCCAGGGGTTCTCTTTGGAAAAGGCCAAGAATGAAGATGCTGAGGAACACTTCAGAGACAGAGATGGACCACAGAGGCAGGAGAGAAGCCACGCTGGTAAGAGGAGGGAGAAGCCCATTTCTTCCCAAGGAGGCAAGAAACTGACTCCTCTGCAAAGGCTGTCCCTTCCACCTCCTCGAGGCAGGAGAGTGTCTGCCACACACACAAAAAAGCCCGAGTTACCAGTCAAGTCAGCGCTTTCCAATTCCCAGGTTTCAGACCTCCTCGCAAGGGTCCTAACCAATGCTCCCTCTAAGCTGTGGGGTCCTGTGAGCAAAAATTCTACTTTGTGAGCTATTACCGGCGTTCACGTTGTGAGTGAGCAATTTGGCTGCTGTATAAATTAGTTTGCTCTGGAGCCATCCCTTCCTGAGCCAGGACAAAAACCTGTGAGCTGGAGGCTAAAAAACTGTGAGCTGGCTCACACTAACTTGGCTTAGAGGGAACACTGGTTCTAACGGGATCTCTCTTTTTATTCCATCAGGGGATGATCGGAGGAATGAGAAGGATGAGGAACTGCACCATCTTTCGGCAGATGAAGTCAAGAATGAAGATCTGAGAGGAAACATCCGGAATCAAGGTGGACCCAAGAGACAGGAAGGAAGCTACATGGTTGAGAAGAGGAATAAAACCATTCTTTGCCAGCGGGAGGATTCACGTGAAGTAATTCACAGGGTGGAGGAAACGGACAAGTGCTTGGAGTGTGGAATGAAGTTCTCAGATCAAACCCAATATTACGTCCATTTACAAATGCACACTGGGAAGAAGACCCATCAATGGCTGAAGTGTGGGAAGACCTTGATTCGCAGAGCAGACCTTGTTCAACACCAAAGGGTTCATTCAGAAGAGAAGCCATTTATCTGCTCAGAGAGTGAAATGATGTTCTCTGATGAAAGAAAAGTTAATGTGCATTTTCCAGAGCACAGTATAATGAAGGCACACAACTGTTTTAGGTGTGGAAACGACTTCAGATGCATATCACAGCTCCTTCTGCACCACAGCATACCCAGGGGAGAGAAACCTTTTGAATGCTCAGAGTGTGGAATGAAATTCAATCGGGCTTACACTCTTCAACAGCATCTTAGAACCCACACAGGGGACAAACCTTTTGAATGCTCAGAGTGTGGAATGAAATTCAATCGGACTGGCATTCTTCGACAGCATTTCAGAACCCACACAGGGGAGAAACCTTTTGAATGCTCAGACTGTGGAAGGAGATTCTATCGGAGTGCCCATCTTCTAGACCATCAAAGAACCCACACAGGGGAGAAACCTTTTGAATGCTCAGAGTGTGGAATGAAATTCAATCGGACTGGCATTCTTCGACAGCATTTCAGAACCCACACAGGGGAGAAACCTTTTGAATGCTTAGAATGTGGAAAGAAATTCAGTTGCAGTTCCAATCTTCAACGGCATCTAAATATCCACACAGGTGAGAAGCCTTTTGAATGCTCAGAATGTGGAAAGCGATTCAGTTTAACTAGCACTCTTAAGAAGCATTTAAGAACCCATACAGGTGAGAAACCTTTTCAGTGCTCAGAGTGTGGAATGAGATTCAGACAGAGTGGCACTCTTCAACAGCATCAAAGAATCCACACTGGGGAGAAACCTTTCAAATGCTCAGAATGTGGGAAGAAATTCCGTCACAGGGGCACTCATCTACAGCATCAAAGAAGCCACAGAGAGACCTTTTGAATGCTCAGAGCTTAGAAAGAGCATCACTCACAGATCCCGTGTTCAACAACTTGAATGAATCTAGAGGAGGAGAAATCATGAACCTGTGGCAATAACCTTTCTTGTATATCACACCTGCAGAAAAACCACAGATTCCACAAAGAGATGAAACTTTATATACTCTTGGAGAGAAACATACAGCTGGAGGGGAACTCAAGGGCCATCTAATCCAACCTCTTGCACAATGTAGGAAATTCACAACTGGCTGGCCTTCCACTCTCCCCGTGTCCCCTGCTCTATGCCCAGTGGATGGCAAATCCTTGTGCCAATCTGGCCCGGAGGAAAATTTCCTCCTGACACCAAACTGGAAATTGGCATTATCCTGGGCATATAAGAAAGGGCTATGAGAGCCGAGCACTGGTTCAACTCTTCCTGCCTTCCCTCCGTTTTGGTGTAGTGGTTAAGTGCGCGGACTCTAATCTGGGAGAACCGGGTTCAATTCCCCACTCCTGCATTTGCACCTGCCGGATGACCTTGGGCAAGCCGTAGCTCTGATAAGAGCTATTCTTGAAAAAGAGCAGTTTCTCTCAGAGCTCTCTCAGCCCCACCTACCTTGCAGGGTGTCTGTTGTGGGGAGGGGGGGAGGGAAAGGAGTTTGTAAGCCGCTCTGAGACACCTTGGGTTAGTGAAGGGTGGGTATCAGGTCGGACGGACCTTGGGGGGTTCGCTTCAGCTTGCAAATTAACGATGCAACCACAGACGCAGCTCCCATCAGCAGTGGAAATATTTGTTAAAAACAGTTCGTTTAATAGATAAAACAGTCTTTACACTCACGGGCTGTGTGCAAGGCAGAAAACAGCCCTCGTTGAAGCCATCGGCAATAAAACTCGTAACTTACAAAGATAAAATGACCATTCATAAAAGAAAGCTGCAGCTTTTCACCAATCATTCCTCGCAGCATATTACATAGCCAAGTCAGCCCAGGCAGGCGATCTGGGCCGTCTTCCAGGACAATTCATCACATCAATGCCAAAGAAACTCTGGTGCGTCCTGTAACCATAAAAATCCTGTCTGACTA